TGTATGTATGTATGTATGTATGTATGTATGTATATATATATATATATATATATATATGTATGTATGTATGTGTATATGTATGTATGTATGTATGTATGTATGTATGTATGTATATAATTCAAAGTCAGTCACACGTCTGTGGACCTGATACTTCCAGACCAGAAGAGGTCTGTAAGTACTATTATTACTTCCATAAGTATTATCAGGACCTCATGATGTGTGTGGAGCCTCAATGTAAAACGGGGACGTACGTCCACATGTGTCTCCTGGCAGCTGCACAGCCATCGGTCACATTTGGAGCCCAGTTCTACCGATTAATTGGTCCACCTTCAGGTCTGAGTCTGTCTGAGTTCAGGTTCAGGACCCCTTGATGATGAAGATGTTGCACTTCTTTACTTATTGTTTATTTCAGGGCAGCAGAAAGTTTCAGGATCGGGAACTCTCTTTGATTCACAGTCCTGTTTGTCTCGTCATGTTTCAGGAGGGGGTCACCATGTTGAGTTTGGGGGGGGCGGTGAGGTCAGGCATCCTGCAGCGTCCTGTACGACTCTCAGGAGTCGGGTCGCTGTCAGGACTCGGGATGCCGTCAGGTATCAGGATGCTCTCAAGAGTCGGGATGCCGTCAGGACTCGTGTTGCCGTCAGGAGCCGGTTTGCCATCAGGTATCAGGACACTCTCAGGTATCAGGACACTCTCAGGACTCGGGAGGCTGTCAGCAGTCAGGAGGCTTTCAGGTGGTGCAGGTGCAGCCGGCTGGTACAGCAGCCTCTCGGACTCGGCTCCGGTTCACCTGTGTGAACACTTTTTGGTGAGCGTGCATCAAGTGAGCGGGCTGCCATGGTGGCTGAGCATCATCGTTGCTACTCTGTCAGTCAGGACGCTCATCACTCTGCCGCTCGCCACTTACCAGATGGTCGTTATCGCCAAGGTGAGTAATGGAAGACATGAGGGGAGGAAAGGGATATACTGAAATATTGTGACAGATTTAAATCATTCTGATGATTCATTTCTAATTAACTGATTGGTTCTTTATAAAACATTAGAAAATGAAACACAAATGGCTGATTGTGCTCCACAGATCCTCTACCAGCAATTACCTTCAAAACCAACAGATATTTGACATTTCTTCTTAAAAAATTAATGAAACTTTTAAATTGTTATTGAAATAGTTCCAGATTAAACCTCAATCAGCTGTTTTCAGCCTTAAAGATATCTGAAGACAGACACCTGCATTTGTTTTGGTGTAACTAAAATAAAGTAAAAGTTAATCTCTGGTCATGTCGACTCCCAGTCTCATGTGTCCAGCACCAGGTTCAGTTCCAGTGTACTAAATCCTTTACATTGTATATTATACTCGTTAAATTAAAATAACACATGCGGTGTGAATGTTTCAATGTTTTTACATCTCAAGATAAAGAGATTAAAGATGAAGTATTCACTGTGAACCAAACCAGGTCTCTATCCACATGATCCTATTCACATGTTTGTTGCCGTGTGCAGACTGTGACGGACAGTAGCCTCTTGTCCGTCATGGTAAACATAGTAACCTCCAGGTGATACACAGGTGGAGGCGCTGCAGGCGGAGATCTCGGAGCTGGCGAAGAGGCTTCGATACGAAGTTTCATTCCGAGCGGAAGAGAAAGGCTGGACGGAGAAACAGAGCCGGTAAGAAATGATACAAAAATAACAACCAGCTGTGTTTTTATCTGCAGATTTATCTTAAACTTCATGTTAAACTTGTTGTGAGTCAAACGAACACCAACAGGGTTAAAGACCTATAGGTGCAAGATTTGGAGCATTTCGATTGCTTCTCAACAGCCCTCAACATGGCTGACCTCTCACAGCTAACGGTGCTAAAAGCGCTAACAGTGCAAACTACCGTGAAAGCGCTAACAGAGCTAACACACACAGAGGGAGAGTGACTTCATTGCCTTCTCAGGTAGTCATCGTAGTGTTAGATGATATAGTATGTTCAGAATGTTTAATATTGCTCCATTAATGAGCTGTAATCTGATTGATTCTGTCAGAGGAAGAAGAATCTATTCTGCTGTTTCTTCTCAGGTTCCAATTCAAGAAGAATCTGCGTCGAATTGTTTCTCAGCTCTACATCAGAGACAACTGTCACCCCTTCAAAGCCAGTCTGCTGGTCTGGGTTCAGCTGCCCCTGTGGATCAGCCTTTCTCTGGCCCTCCGAAACCTGAGTCTGGATCAGTCCGGTAAGCTTACATCTAACCCTAGCCCAGTAAACTGAGTCTGGATCAGTCTGGTAAGCTGATTAAGACTGAATCAGTCCTGAAAAGTGAGTCTGGACCAGTCTGGTGAAATGAATCTGGACCAGTCCAGTGAACTGAGTACATGTGGACCAGTCTGAGTCTGAACTAACAGTAACCTTTGTTCTCTGCAGTTCTGCAGGCTGATCTGGCAGCAGGAGGCGCCCTATGGTTCCCTGACCTCACCTTACCTGACCCCACCTGGATCCTACCTATCTGTCTTGGACTCACCAACCTGCTCATCGTAGAGGTCAGTCTGTTCAGCAGGTGTGTGATCACCTGACCTGATGATGTCATCTAACCTAACCGCCCCTCTCTTCTTCCTCAGGTGTTTTCTCTTCAGAGAGTCAACCCGTCTCGTTTTCAGAAGGTTGTGACGAACTCCATCAGAGCGTTCTCGGTGTTGATGATTCCCATCGCTGCTACAGTTCCTTCAGTAAGTTAGAGGGTCACTTTGGTATTGTTACACCTGGACCTCCCCATGGTTTTTGTCTAGGTGACTAATGGGGACCATAATAATCCGGCGTTGCTGGAGTGCGCTACAGACGGCAGGTTAACGGCTGTAATGTGATTCCACCTCCACTAAACATGCTGACTGGCAGTCAGACAGACAACATTATGAAACACTTTTCTTTGTTATTGAGTCATGTGACACGTCGTCTGAAGACGGTCATAAGTGAGTGAGAGTTGGAGAGAGGCCACGGGACACCAGAGTTCAGAAAGCAAGCTCAGGGTTATCGAAAAGATTTCAATCAATATTTAGCTGATTTCAGAACGAGACTTCTCTGAGCGAGACACACAATAGCGAACAGACCGGATTAAAGGAAAGGTAAAGAACAACCTGTTCTTCTGCTAAGTAGGCTATGTAATACTGAGCAAGTGATTTCCCCCAAATGTGGTAAAAAATCATGCCAACGTAAATGTTACATCTAAGGACAAATGGAATTTGATGTCTCCATGTCGAAACACAGACTTCTCAGATGAGACGAGGGAACTCTACAGTGTCATAACAGCCCAGCAAGGTTTTACAATTATAAACGTTATCATTAATTACATAACGTTAAGGAATGAAATGAACAGAAATAGTGTGAATAACAATATTAGTTATAATTAAAGCTGCGAGCAGCGATGAACAGGCCCTCGCATCCTCCAGCATGTTGGGGGTGGCGGCGGGACTCTGGCCTGTGCGGCAGAGAACGTCCGCGACCGTCAGACAGCGCATCCGCAAGTGAGACGTATTTAATCCTGCGTGGACCGCCTGATGCTGGAAATGATGCTTTGCAAATAGTCTGATGCTTCCTGTATCCGCTGCCTGGCGCTACAGAACGCGTGCAAACATGCATTATGTTGCTCTGTGTCAAGTGTAAACCACATGGTGTAAAAGTAATGTAAATTGGAGGTGTTTGTCACAAAACGCAGATTTCCTTTGGCCAGCAGGTGTCGCTGTGAGTATTAGTTAAAATTAGCTCGTAGACATCCTCAGGCCATGAGTGTTATCAAGCATGAGAAGTTTGGGACCGTTTGGAACAAGTCCAGCTGAGTTACA